CCCCAAAACCCCAAAACCCCAAGGCATCAATGATGAATTAAGAAGAAAAATAAAGAATTATTGATAGAATTATATATTATAGATAAGTATATACTTAATATTAAACAATATGCAATCTAATTAGTTTTGGCAAAGTTAAGAGGCATAGATAAATTCCATGCAGCGTTTAAACTACATTTAGACATAACAGTCTCCTCCTAATTACGAATTATATCATCAGTAGATGAATCCTAATAGTTTTCCTCAATCTCCATCAAAATAGAAATTAAATGATTTCAAAACTCTTGAGGTAGTTGTTGTGCCAATGGAGACTAACCAGTCTATATATCAAATGGACCTTAAAATTAAAGGCAATGAAACTAGCCTCAAATAAGTTTTTGACGAAAATGTAAACAACTACTGGACTAAAGTTTTTAAAGGACATTCACCTAAAGAGCCACCCTCCTATAGGTAAGAAGTATGCTTATATTTTATCATTTAGTGTTTTTCGTAAAACTATGAATGTTGAGGTTTAGTATTTTGAGGAATTCGCTGGAAAAAGTTTGCATATTCTTTTGTTAAAGTGTGAGGGATTTAAGTTTCCTCGCAACCCAAACGCTCATCTATTGGAATTATTCTGCAATACGCATTTTTATGGACCTTTAGTGGTGGCCATGAACATGAACTAAGTTCCTTATCACTTAGCCAGTTTTAAGTATTCCTTTATTGATGAGATAATCAGCATCAATGAAAAAGAAAAACGCTAATATCCACCACCATTTATCTAAACAAATTCTCAAAAGAAAAATAAAGCTAGTAAGATTAATATTTTTAATGTTCCCTAGTGCCATTCTATGTTTCAAGTGAGTAAAAAAGTGTGCCTGATGATCTACTGCAGATTAGAAATAACATGGATCAAGACATGTTTTATATTTACAGATATAAAACAGCATATTGCCCATAGAAAAACGTTAAACATGATTGGGCATAATGCATTTATGCACATAAGCCATAAGATTATCGCAGACCACCAGATACTTATACATATTGGCCTGATGACTGCAAAAGTTTCTTGTAAGATTAGGAAGATGGGTGCCCCCTTGGCTTTAAATGTAAATATTCTCATTCAACTTTTGAGAGACTCTATCACCCTTTAAAATACAAAACCAATCCATGTGATGTAAGTTTCTTTATATCAGTAACCTTATTAGTAAAACTACAAGAGCTAAAAGAAGCAATGCAAAAGAGGAGAAATGTGTGCGTTTTATCATGATAAAACATAGAAACGTTACCCTCAAGGATGCCCAAAAACTTAACCGTTTTTAAATCTAGTAGGATAAACTAATTCAAATATCCAGAAATATTCATCGTCTTCTTAACCCCCAAATTAAATGCAAAATCAGTAAGCATTTTCTTTCATCATAAAATAGGCAAATGATGAGACAACAAAGTTTCACTCCTGATGTTCAGCAAATTCAACTTGCCTTCTCTACTTCTCCTTAGAACTAGGCTCAAGTATCCTCTTTTATCTAAATATCTCCATAAGATCATTTTAACTACAGTTCACCTCCTAAGAGTTATAATTTTTCACCTCAAAACTAATCATTCTGTAATTATAATGAATTCTGTAACATTTCTTAGAGAGACCTTTTTCAATCGATGGAAATCACTCTTATAATAGCCAGAACTAGAGAATTTGGAGTGCTTCTCCTTAGCAGTAAGAAAGCTTAAGCAGTAACCATAGTTAAATGCTAAGTTATTCCTTGTAATAATAGCAGTAGCTGATCAACTAAGATCAGCAAAGCTTTTATCAGAATGTGCATCCTTAAATTCAGTCGTTTTAACAATAGCAACTTTAATAACAACAACAAAATCAACATTAGCAACAGATTCTTTTGTAACAGTAACGAATGAGCCAGTAGAATCAAATGAGCAATGCTCTTAATCAAATGAATAGATAGTTAAATGTGAACTAAAGTGGGATTAAAAATACCAATAGCAATCATTTAAGAAACAAGGATTACGCACTTTAATCTACTGTCAATACTGATTCGTATCTTAACTCTATGTTTTCATTTGAAATTGGAGCCAAAGAACGAGCTTTATCTACTGATAATATTTTCTCATCCCCAAAGGGCTTACCTTACTTATCTGATATGGTTTTTCCTTAATTAGATGAGGAGAATGAGGAGATAGAAATGCATATTGAAGAAGATATTTAGAAAATGGTGCTGTCAAATATCGCCTAAGATCAAGGAAATCATAGTAATAGTGTTGAGGAAGATAGTATTTTCTCACACTCACCCCTCCAGAGCATTCAACAACTTAATTAATCGAGTCTCCAACTTAATTCAGCTTAGTTGCCTAATTCATTAACTTAAGGCCACAGACTTTACTGAATATCAAACATGATCTGAATCAAGTTTTTGAAGGCATGCTCCATTTTTGATGATGAATATTATAAATATATATTTATAGTTGATTAGAGTGTACAAGTTTCGCATCTGAGCATGTATATATTTTGTTTAATGATTTTAAAATCTCACTATCCAAGTCTAATAAATTCATGATTCATGGGGTTTTGGGGTTTTGGGGTTTTGGGGTTTTGGGG